CAAAAACAAGCCAAAAGTCTGGGTGCTGTTGTCGCCTTTGCTCATGACCACTGTTACGCAAAAACAACCCTCTTGTGTTTTAGGGTTTTGTTTCGAGCTTTTTTTTTCTACTTCTTTTTCTCCTCTTTCTTTTTATTGTTCATTTAATTCTTTTGCCATGCTTGAATGTATAGGTTGTGGCAATCAAAACATTTGTCTACATTGAATATATCTAAGTTTCTTTCGGATGAATACTCCAAAAGAAGAAGACCAGCTAACAGTGATCAAAAATGTCTTGTTGAAATTTTTGATACACCAATAATTTTTTCATTTTAAAACAAGAACAACAAAGAAAAAAAATTTTATTTGAAAAAAAAATGATGAAATTTTCAAAATAAAAAATATTTGAAAAAAATTTTTTTTTGTTTTATAACAGCTGACGGAAAGTATTTGAGTTATGGAATAACTAAGCCAACAATTCAGTGTTATCTTGGTATGCCCTTTACCTTTACAATTTTCCATACAGATCCAATTCATTTTCCTACTTTTGTTTGCTGTTGTTGTTATTTGTTGTCTGCTGCTGCTGCTGTTGCTGTTGCTGCTATTTGTTTCTTTAACGTCGATGTTTTAAAGCTATATGACTGTAAAAAAATTCTGCTTTAAAAACATTGGCTGTACAATTGCACTTGTTTTTGTTGTCCTGCTTCATAACTGCCGCTTAGGATATGTAACTGAAGATAACCAGTTCTACTTGTATTTCCAGGTAAACTAAAGATGAATTTGTACAACTGTTTACTGGCACTGAGTCGATGGCAGTAGCATTTGTAACTGTGGTGAATAAAAGACTAAGAAAAAGCAACAAAGAAAGCTTAGTCGTTCTCTGCTGCATTTGTCTAATTTTATATTGGGTCTTTTAGGAGAGGAAAATATCAGTAAGAAGACAAAAATGCAATGCTAATTCATCAACAATAATTTTGCCTTTGTGTTTCTTAGTTTTCAATATATTAGCAGTTTATAAACATCACCATCTGCAAAAACTGCCATCGCAACAAAGCTGATATTTACAACTTCATTTTTTCTTCCTTATTCAAAGTATATTCTTTTGAAAGCAAAACAAAAACAAAACATAGTTGTTTAATTTTTGTCTATAATACTCCAACAATATATTTTGTTCTTTTTTTCTTCTTTTTTATTCTTTTTTTATAGTCTTCGCTTTTCTTGTTTATTATTTTATTAGTTGTTGTTTACTGAATACTTTGAAAAAAAAAA